TAATAGCAATGGCCTCCAACCTAGTAGCGATGGCCTCCAACCTAATAGCAATGGCCTCCAACCTAATAGCAATGGCCCAACATTGCTCCTCTCGTTTGGTCAGGCACTCTCACGGATAAGGGCCAAGTCATCAGAGGGGAGTGGTCGAAAGGGCTGCGAGTGAAGTGACCCGGACCCAAAGTGCCCAAAGGGGCACCTTTGTAGGGCACCTCATCGCCCTTGTAGGTAGCTTTGCGGCTTTGCAACTGCATGAAATTTTTAAGAAAATGAATTGAGAAGGTTCCACTTGTACCTTTTGGCTGCTGTCAGACGGTTCGACCTCATGGCAAGTGTGAAGCCTCAATGTTGGGTTTCTCGCGGAAGTTGTGTTTCACATCGAAAAGGTTGTGCCGTGGGTGGGGTGAGTTGCTGCTCCAAGGCACAAGAGCTTTCTGAACCAATGATGACCGATGAACGTGCGACCTTTTACAAAGAGTCACTCATAGTCTTTGAGACCCCTACCAAACCCTTGGTCGCGACACAACTATGCTGTCAGCCTATATAGATTTTCTTTGGGAGTGAGCGCTGAACATGATGGGCACTACCGACCTCGCTGACATGCTGTTTAAGATGGAAGCGGCGGCTACCATCTTGGACGGGCCTTGCACCACCAACTAATGGAATCCATGTGAAAAACCCATACTAAGAGCAAGGACGCTACTAGGGGTTCCTGGCCTTACTACTAGGAGCAAGGACGCCGCTAATGGACTCCATGTGGCCCTAGGGGCTTTGAAACAACCTCTTTGAAGCTTCGTGCCCCGTTCGTAGCGATCATTGCTCTTAGTAGTAAGGCCAGGTGCCCCTAGTAGCGTCCGATCGCTCCGTTCGTAGCGATGCCCTTTGCTCCTAGTAGCGTCCTATTTCTTGGTATGGCTTGGGGCTTTTTGAACAGATACCTTAAGACAACAACATCGTTCATCACGATTGCAGGACTATGAAGCAAGCACTTTCGATTGATCATTGATGGTAATTGGTAATCGAAAGCTTGGCTGGACCCGGTCAGCGTTGTGTTCGCTGTGTTTTTACAAGTACCGTGTTGTTCGCAGTGTCGCGCGGCCTCGGCAGATGGTCCTTTGGCTTCAGGCCCTTTCCACGGTGTCGCCTGGGCGTCGCGCTCCTCGGAGCCCGGCGTGTTTCGGCACAACGAAACCATGGCGGACTGTGAATCCTTGAAGGAGACGAACCATGGGACGTCCACCTCGTATGGAACTTTGATGGGAGTCGAGTATCAAAGAGGAACTGGGGCTGTTCGTCTGATCTATTGTACAATCATTGCTGTGATACTCTCCGGCATTCGAATTGTTTGTGATCTGGCAGTGGGATTTGCAATTGCTCATCATTCGGCGTGGGTTTTCATTTGCGTCTCGTTCATAGATTTGCTCCTTGCTGCGGCAGCGGCTACGGCGGCGTACTTTGCTTTGACCGTCAGACGACGGGGCATCATCGTTTTCGCCATCACGTCGTTTCTGGAGACCGCAATTTTCAGCTTGGCTTACTTTGTCGTAGTGACTCTGGAAGCTTGGACCTTTTCTTTAATAGGAACAAAGGGCATCGCTACTAGGGGCTCCTGGCCTTACTACTAGGAGCAAAAGGACGCTACTAGGGGCTCCTGGCCTCGCTACTAGTAACAAGAGGAACCTTTTTTTAGCAGTAGAGGTGTGGCCTAAGTTGTTGTTTGCTACTAAGCAGAAAAGAGGTCTGCTCGCCTCAATGATTTGGTTCCGTTCGTAGCGTCCTCTTGCTCCTAGTAGTAAGGCCAGGAATGCCCCTGGTAGCTTCTTGTTCCTATGTTTGTTTTTGGAAGCTTAACTTGTGTCAAGAAGTATGTTGCTTTGAAATAGCTAGCCTCTTTCCAAGACCAAATCGGCGTACTTGGGGTGACTTTTCATGCATATTTTTTACTCAAACCGCAAAACGGACAGACCTTCATCAGGCTTAAATGAACACAGTTCTTTCTTAGCCTTCGTTTTTTCCCTTCTCTTTTCTCTTGGGAAAATTCTTCTTATGCCTTTATTATTTTCTTTCGCTATTGTTGTAGTGGCAGTTGTTTTGAACTATATAGATAGTTTTTTCTTTAGTTCTTTCACTGTCCCAGGATGTTGTTCATGCTTGGGAGCGCTGTGAAAGCCAGAAATTAGCTTGTGATCCAAGAAGCTCTGAGCTCAGCGATCATGGACCTTGACCCGCAACAAGTTTCATGTTGTCTGATTTTTATTTTGTTGTTTTTATCAACAAGAAACTACTAGGGGCTCCTGGCATCGCTACTAGGAGCAAGGAC